CGCCACCACCAAAGTCACCAAAGCCACCACCGAAACCCCCACCAAAGCCACCGCCAAAACCCCCACCAAAGCCACCACCAAAACCCCCACCAAAACCACTACCAGCCCCTCCACCAAAGCCACAGCTCATGCCACTCCCATATCCCCCTCCTGACCCTGAGGAGACAAACCTGGCCGAAGAGGCCGAGATACTACGGCTTCCACCTCCACCATAGAGACTCCCTCCACCAAAGCCCCCTCCCCCAACCCGGAGGGAGCCCCCTCGAGTCGAGCCACCCCCGAAGGTGGAGGAAGAAGTTTGCAGCAACGTGGTGGCCATGGCTGGGCAGCAGTGCTGGTGAGCTCTCAGCAGGCAGAAAGGCACAGGCAGGAGGTGCGGGCTGGGCTGGACCTGGAGCGCAGTGCCCGTGGCCCCCAGCCTGGGCTCCTTATATACCCCTCGGAGGGTACTGTGGGCCTGTCTCCTCCCCCAGAGCGAAGCCAACTCCTCTGCCTTCCTGACAAACACAGCTGCCTGCGCACCTCCACAGGGCTCGTGTACAGTTTTTCTTTCTTTCTTTTTTTTTAATGCAACAAAAGAGATGATTCAGAAGTAATGGTGTTTTGCCCCGCGGCCACAGTTTTAACACTTGGATTACAGGTTCACTCTCTCCACCCCAGGAGAAAGAGCGGCAGAGAGCAAACTCTCAGCACGTTTCAGCTCCCACAGCCTCTGCCCATCCCGTTAGAGCAGGGAAGCTGCTGTGCCCTCAGCTAAACTTTGTTGCCCTGGCCCAGGGTGGACAGCACCCCACTCCAAGCCACCACTCCGTGTTCTCTCATTCAAAGACTATGTGCATGAGCCTGCAGGACACAGGGAGCCCAGGCCCCTGAGGATAGGAATATAGGACTCAGGGGACAGACTAAAGACAGGAGAGGGAGACATGAGTTAAGTTCTGGCTGAGGTGGGTGAGCATCTGTCCCTGGTGCTGCAAACGGACTTTTTTTCTTCCCACCTCTGCTCCCCTAGATGCCCACGCCTGCTTCTCCAGAACCCCCAGCCTCCAGCCCCATGTCCCTGGCTAGCTCACAAAGGCCCAGCAGGCTCAGAGCTGACAAGGGGCTGATTGATAATCCAGCCACCTGCCAAATTCACATGTCACTGAACCTTTGCTTGCTCCCAGACGGGACGCGTTTGGGCAAACCTCTGCAGATAAGGCTGGGGCAAGTTCCAAGAAGCCCCTGCCTTCTCCAGGGAGAGGCATGTCGCTGCTTAACAGGGCCAGATTAACCCCCATTTGTCCTGTCAATTGCTGCAGGCTCAAGAGAGATGAAGCCAGAAAACTCTGCACGCCTGAGCATTGTGGAGAAGGAAGGGTGGGGAGGCCTGGCGAGCAGGTGGAAGGCACCAGAGACCTCGAAGATCAAGGCTTCACTTTACACAGAAGGTCAGTCGAGCAATCAGGAGACACATTTCCTCAGCCCGCCAGCTCCAGGTCACCACTTTCCAAGGACACTGGCACCTGTGGATAGCATCACTTAGATGTATGACCTGCCCCCCCCCTTGGCCTACAGAATGTAGAGATGAGCTAGACTAAGCTGAAGAACAGGGAGGAAGATTTCTGGACTGGGGTGGCCGCACCCAAGAACAGACAGGGCTCTGAGGTCCTGAGGTCTAGATTCAAATCCTGCACCTATCAATGATGAATATGAAACTCTAGACATGTTCTTTTTATGGCACTGGGCACTGGCAGCTAACACTTCCAGGGAAGCACTAAGACCCAAGAGCCCCAGCCTGCCTCCCCTGGCTCTCATCATTTGAGTAAGAGTGGTGACTGCACATCCAGCACCTGGGACTCCCCCATACCCTCACCAGGAGGGCCTTTGACCGTGGCATCAAATCTTACCTCGTGAGCCTATCATGCTCCAAGCTTAGCAGCATCACCCACCTGCGCCAGTTCCAACTGAGCAACAAAAGTGGATCTTAGTTCTGCTGTAATAACGTAATCCACTGCTACCATATACTTCATGATTTAAAAAGCACTTTTGTATCCACTGTCCCCTTTAATCCATCCCCACACACAGAGGATGACCCCTGCCCAAGTTTAAAAGGGATAAAAATTGGCCCTCTGAGAGGTGAAGCAATTTGTGCAAGATGGCACAGCTAGCAAGGGTCTCCACCGGAACCCAAATAGGTCCTCGGACCCCTCCTGAAGCAGGGCACAGGAAAAGAACACCCTCCCTCAGACTCCGATTCCTGCATCTGAGCTGGGTTGAAGGGACCACTGCGGGTCTGGGAGGATGGGGTGGACTCCTCCTGACCCAGCTTCACACAGGAACCCAGGCCGCCAAGTTCTGGCCCAGACAGGGTAGTATTGTCTCATGGGTGGGAGGATATTGCCTTTTCCTCCGAAAGAAAAATAATCAAGGCCAGATCAGCCAGAGCTCATTAAAGCTTCTGCAGACATGGCGGCCCCTGCAATTAACCCAGAACAATTACTCGGCCGTTGCCCCAGGGTAAGGGAGTCTGCACCCCAGCCAGCTCCCCTTCTGCACCCCGATTCTTCTCCAGCAGCCCCTCATAAGGCTTTCCCTTCTTTCTCCAGCCCAGGCCAGGGGAGGCAGCTGGCTCCTTGCTGTCCTGGTTGCAAATCCTTAATTTCAGTCCAAACAGCGACTGCAATCAAGGTCTGGGCAGGGCCCCTAGGGCCTCCTCATTAGCGCCAGGCAGGATAGCCTTGCCAGGATTGCTCCCTGGCTCTGACCCAGGCTGCTGTGTGCCAGTTTCTGTCCTTTGCCCACTGTAGCCAGACAGGCGTCCCTGAAGCTGGACAGTCCCTCCTTGAAATGGGGCCATGCAGCTCAGTGGAAAGACCCTGGCTGGCTTCCACCTCTGGGCATGACTCAGCTTCTGGGACTGGTTCCTGATTTTAAATGAAGCTATTAACACTGACCCCAGCCACAGGGCCCTAGTGAACATTTAAGAGCACATAGGAAGGAGGTTCCCATAAATGTTAGATCCTACTCACACAACTCCTGTTCCCCAGGGTTGTGCCAGGGATAGAACACACGACCTGGGGGCTAAAGACTCACCTTTGAGTTTCTCCTTTCCCAATTTCCAGGCATGTGGTGTTGGATAAGATGCCTTACCCTGAGCCTCAGTCTACCAATCAGGAAAATGGAAATAACTCCAGCCCAGCCGGCCCTGCAGAGCTAGACCAAGATGATTGACAGGAAATGCTTTAAGTGCTGGAGCAGTCATGATGAACAGCAGTGAGCGGAAAGACCCCAGCGCCCTCTGTCTCCTGACCCAGGTCTCCCCAGGTGCAGCTCCCAGACTGAGACAGAAGAGTTTTCCTGCCCTGCCCCTCACCCCGAGAACACAAAGGAAGGCTTCATTTCCAACACCCAGACCTGGACCCAGTCACCAGCTGGCCGCACCTGTGTGCGCCCAGACCCCGCCCCAAGCCACATTCCAGGGGCCCCTGGGCAGAGTGAGGGTTTCAGCTGGGACAACAAGGGAGGCTTTCATGGGCAGGGACCAGAATCTCTGCACAGTCCCAGCCTGGGGATGTGGCCAGGCCTCTGCCTCCTGCTCCAAACCTTCCTGAGACGTTAAATGGGAGAAGGGGCTGGAGGGGCCTGGAGGTCAGAGAGGACAGCCCAGAGAGGGCAGAAGGGCTGCCCCGGGGCTGCACAATGCCAAGGAAGAACGGGACTCTGGGGCACATGGTCAAACTAGGGGGCCTCTCTGAGATCTGCAAGGAAATGGAGGCGTTAACACCCCCTTCGGGATCCACGTGAGGTTTGGCGGTGTCCCGGGCACAGGGCATAGCATCAGTTTTCCTATAGAAGTAGGATGCAGGTGTGAGGTGGGTCCCTTGCCCCCACCTCCACAGGTCAGCCTTCTGTCATGGAGAGCTCATTGGGAAGCCCTCCGCCCAGGGGAAGTGGGACTGATTTGTGGGCCTCTGATTGCCTTGAATTGGCCTCAGTTCTTGACAGCTGAGCTGTAAACCACAGGGGCAGGACCATACCCACCCAAGGGCAGACCCATACCAGGAAGCTGGGACTTGGTGCCTTTGCTGGTCCCTGGCAGGCCCCAGGCAAGCCAGGTTGGGGGTCTGTATGGGAGGTCTGGGTCACAGCCGGGTCCCATTCCAGTCTCTGGGCCCAGGCATGAGCTAGTGGGTATAAGGGGATTATGCAGGGTTGCCCCAGGAAGGATTAATGTGTTAGTGCAGGAACAAAAGCACACAGGGATAGGGACAACCTCTCCAGCCAGCAGAATATCTAACCCCAAAGCCCCAGTTTAGGTTAGGAGAAATGTGTTGGGAGGAACCACCCCAGAGGATCCCAGTCCAGAGCCTTCATATGGAGCAAGACTGGCACAAATGATGTCAGCTTTAAGAGACCACCTGGGCAGGAGTGACGCCACGCACTAAGTATCAGGAAGCATATATTCTAATTCTGGCTGTGGCATAAATATACTTGTTATGTGACCTTGAACAAGTTACTCAACTATCTGAGCCAGTTTCCTGATATATAAAATGCAGCTCATACTTTTAAGATTGTTTTGATTTCATGGCACATGGTAGATGTTCAATAAATATTCATTTCTCTCTCTCTCTCTCTCTCTCTCTCTCTCACACACACACACACACACACACACACACACACATACACACACACACACAACACTCATTCTCCCCAACCCCCAAGAGAGTACAACAGAAAGAACTCAATCTGGAACCACAGTTTCAAACCCCACCTTTGCCATTATTAGAGCAGTTACCATGCAACAAACCCCTTCACCTCTCTAAACCTTAGTTTACCCCTCTATAGAAGAAATGCTTAAAGATATGCAAACAGGAATTATCACCACAGCAGAAGGACCTGAGCGCCCTTGCCCTCCCTTCCCTTTCCTGGGACAGAGTGGACTTTGTTTCAAATAAAACCTAAACAGAGCCAAAGCCTGCCCCATCTCTCCATGGGCTGAAATAACAACCACACATCCTTCCTCCCTGGGGCCATAAAGTTTTATTGGCAGGTCGGGGATAGAGCCAGGGTAAGGTCCCTTCCCTCCCCTGTCCCTGCCCAGAGGCCTCTCTCTGCAGGAGGACAGGAGCCCAGGAGCCTTCGCACTCAGACGTTGAGCTGGTTGGGCAGATTGTTGTAGTGGGCGTCCTGGCCCTCGAGCAGGCTGCGGTAGGTGGCGATCTCTTGCTCCAACCGAGACTTGATGTCCATGAGCTGCTGGTACTCCAGGTTCTGTCGCTCGATGTCAGCCCGCACGTCACCGAGCTGGGCTTCGATGCTGCTGATCCTCGCCTGGATCTGCGCCAGCCGGGCTCCGTAGCGGGCCTCGGTCTCTGCCAGTGTGCCTTCCAGGGCGGCTTTCTGAGAGGAGAGAGAGGGGATGTGTCTCAGCAGAGACAGCTCCCAGAGAGGACACGGGTACAGCCACCAGCCAGGCCACCCCAGACTTCAAGGGCACAAGTGTGTGTCCTACAGGGCAGAGACACGTACCATGCTGAGCTGTGACTGTAGCTCAATCTCGAGACCCTGGAGGGTACGTCGCAGGTCCGTGACCTCACTCTCACTCATCTTGAGCTGTTCTGAGTGGCCAGCAACCTCCCGGTTCAGCTCCTCAGTCTGAAGACAGAGAGGGGAGGAATAAGGACTGAGGCAGACCTTTGAGAGGGGGACACCAAGCCCTCTGTCCTCGCCACCCCATCCCTCAAAGCGCACCTGCTCCCCCTCCCTGCTTACCCGACTTGTAAACCAGGCTTCAGCGTCTTTCCGGTTCTTCTCAGCCATGACCTCATATTGGCTTCTCATGTCATTCAGGATCTTGGCTAGGTCGATGCCTGGAGTGGAATCCACCTCTACGTTGACCTGGCCACCCACCTGGCCCCTCAGGGCACTGATTTCCTGGAAATATACAGCAGAGGTGGGCATGTCAGGGCACCGAGCCCACTGGGCCTGGGCCAAATCACTTCTTCACCCCCAAAGCACGTTGGTTTTCAGGTACAATCCTAGAAGCCAGCACTGGGGAGGACACTGGGTGATCACCATCCCTTTGCTAGAACCCTGGGAGCCATAATCACCACCCACGACCATGCTGAGGGTAGCCACAGTCAGAGGGTACAGGATCAATTATTCTCAGCCTTGGGACCTGGGGTGAGATGGACAGATAGCCAGTTTGACTCACCTCCTCGTGGTTCTTCTTGAGGTAGGCCAGTTCCTCCTTCAGGCCCTCAATCTGCATCTCCAGGTCGGTCCTGGCCAGGGTCAGCTCATCCAGCACCCTGCGCAGGCCGTTGATGTCGGCCTCCACACTCAGGCGCAGGGCCTGCTCTGTCTCAAACCTTTCAAAGAAAAATAGTGGCAGTCAGGCCACAGTTGACTCTGCACCTCAGAGGACTTCCCTAGTTCCCCAGGGTTCAGGAGTCTATAGGGGGCTTGCTTTAGGCCAACTAGGGTGGGTGAAGTCAAATGGCACTGAGCCCTACAGAGGACTAGGACTGCCCCCTGCCACCAAACACACACACACACCCTGCTATCCTGGTTTCTGCTCTCCAGGGAATTAAGACTCACTTGGTTCGGAAGTCATCTGCAGCCAGACGGGCATTGTCAATCTGCAGGACAATCTTCGAGTTCTCAATGGTGGCACCAAGAATCTGGAAGGCAGAAGGTGCCATTATGGCATACCTACCCTGCCCACCCACTTGCTTCCCAGAGAAGTGGGAAGAAAATGAGTATGTCCCCACTCTCTAGAGACCAATACCCAGCCACCCATCCCTGCTGCCCATTTGCCTGCTCTCTGGGAGGCCTTGGAATCAGTTCATCTCCAGGAGCTGAGGCAAGAGACACACTACAAGGAAGGGTGGGTGGGGAGAGGTGGGCAGGGAAGCAAGCCTGGGGAGCACATCTCTGAGTCCTATGCCCAGTGACTTCTAAATGGGCTGAAGGGGGGACTATAAGTCAGATGCAGAGAAGCAAGTTGTTTGAAACCCACTCAAGGACAGGGTGCCTTCAGGAAAAAGGATCCCATTTGTTGAGCATCTATTATGTGCCAGGCACTTTGTGCCTCACTCTTTATAACCTCTAAACCAGGTCAGTGGGCACTCCCACTTTACAGAAGTGGAAATCCTCCAAGTTCCCCTTTCATCTGAAGACTCTTGTGACCTGAGAGGCATATTCACATCTTCCAGCACAGCACCAATTACAGTGCTCTGGCTCAGTGTTTTTCAAAGTGGTTATAGCTCAGTAGTCAGTGTCACCAGGAGGTAACTTGCCATTTTTTAGTGAAACTGAACAAAATATAAAAATCAGAGGGGATCACCCAAAGTAGGGTAAGAATTGGTTCAAGAAGCTTTTGCTTTCTGTGGGAGGAGGCAGGAGTAAAGGAAAAGAAGAGAGATATCAGCTACTGGGTAAATAGTAAACTGTATTTCTCATTGTGTGTCAAACAATTTGAAAACTGGGAACTGCACTGTTTTAGCTGGCTGTTAACTCCTCCAGCTCTCCCACACCTGTGGATCCAGGTCCAGGCCCTCAGCACCCAGCTCCAGGCTAAGTTCATGGTTGAAACTGGGAAAAGTTCTGGGAGCTGCAGGATGGGAGATCAAATATTGGGGGACTATTAAATGACACATTTCTTCAGGATGGAACTTTTCCCTTTGGGTGGAGACCAAGGCCTACTTTAGAGTTCCCCATAAGAGCCTGTGGCTCAGACCCACAGGGAGCTGCCTCTGTACCTAGTCCTCCAGGGCAGAGGTTTACACAAGCAAAGGCCCAAGGCCTCCGCCTACCTCCCTCCTTTCCGGGGGCCCAGGGCTCTCCAATTCTTCCTAGAGTTCCTTCCTCTTAGGCCTGGGTGGCCCCTGGGAGGGAGAAGAGTGGGAGGAGACCAAATCCTAAACATGAGGAAAACCAGACCTGCTGGGTGATAGAAGAGGAATGCAGGGGGCCCCACACCCCACACAGGGGTCGCAGGGGCAGGTCTGGCTCCAGTGGACCAGATCCCCCCAGGTCAAACTCGTGAGCTCCCTATGCCGCTACAGCCCCTGGCAGAACCCCTGGACAGCCTTTACCATCTCCTCTCACTCTGTGGACCCCCTTTCCCTGGACTGCAGACACGCCCTTCCTTCTCCTGGAGCCCCAACGGGGTCCTTGCGCTTCTACGGGTCCCACCCACTTTCCCTCCCCCTCCCTCCATCGGCCTCCACTTCCTCTGGTCTCCCGCCCGCCTTCTCTCTGCCCCACCCCACGGGCCCTCCCGCGTCCTAACGGGCTCGCTCTCGCCCGCGCCTTGCCTCGCCCAGGCTGCCGGGCAGGGTTTCCACGCCGCCGGCCTCCCCACCGCGGCAGGTGCACCTCTGGCGGCGGGGCCGCCACCCACCTTGTCCCGCAGGTCATCGATGGTCTTGAAGTAGTGGCTGTAGTCGCGGGAGGGCCCGGGCCCCTGCTTCTGGTACCAGTCGCGGATCTTCACCTCCAGCTCTCCGTTGGCCTGCTCCAGGGCGCGCACCTTGTCCAGGTAGGAGGCCAGGCGGTCGTTGAGGTTCTGCATGGTCACCTTCTCGTTGCCCGCCAACAACCCGTCGGACCCGGCCAGGACGCCACCATAGCCGCCACCATAGCCGCCACCATAGCCCCCGGCGGAGGACGAGGACACGAAGCGGGCAGAGGACACGGATACGCCACGGCCACCTGAGCCCCCGTGGATGCTAGGCGCGCGGAAGGCGCCCCCAGCCCCAAAACGCACGGAGCCGCCGCCCAAGCCCCCGAAGGAAGAGGTGGCTGAGGACTGGCGGTAGCTGTAGGAAGTCATGGCGAGGCAGACGACAGGAGCGACACTGGCCTGAGAAGCTGCGGACTGCAAGGGGAGTGGCGAGGCCCTCACCTGGCGCCTTTTATGCCCCAGGCGGGTGGGGGAGGGGGACGGTGTCGGGGCGGATATCTGAGCCCCGAGGAATTTGCAGACTCCTGAGTGCAAATATGGGCCCTCTCCTCATTGGTCAACTCCCAGCGGCTCTGCACCAACTCTCCTCCCAGGAACCGAGGCCCCGACCCTCCCCGCCGCTGCCCCACCCCAACCCACTCTGAAGCCCTGGCCGCGCACGCCTCTGTTCTGGCTCTTTGCTGTGGATATTTAGCTCTGTCCTAAACGAGCTTAGACAGGACCGACCCCATAATTCACTTGTGATCCCGAATTCACTTATGACGCTCACTTACTCTTTAAGGTCCTCAGAATTAGGAAACCCCCCCCCATAGGTCACCCAAAGAGCCCCTTTAGAATCATGCTAAGAGCCCCTTATGATCATAATCCACGTCCCCACCCCCCAGCCCCCTCAAAGTACTTGCAGCAGATTCCTACACCCCACTGGAAACTACAGCCTCCAGAACCCTTCCCCTAGGATGGCTTCACCCCAATACCCTCTTCATCCCCTCGGACAAAGGCAGTTTCTAGATGGGGTGCCCTGAGCGGCAGGCTTCCTAGCTGCTGGAGGCACAGCTGCCCCACCCTGCTTTAGCCATACAAAGCCCAAAGGTGACAATAGGCACCAGGGAAAAGAGCTGCAGGGAGTGCTGCTGGCAGCCTGACTGCCTCCTTCACAATCACAAGCTCAAAGGGACACCCACCTGGGGCTTGCACACTCTGAGACTCAACACCAAACCCACTGGGAAGGCTCCCTCCCCTCTAGCCCCCAAAGCATGACTGCATTTAACCATGCATTTATTAGGCTATTTACTAAGGTCCCTCCTCCCCGAGGAATCCCAACCTAGGGGAGGCAGTTAGTCCACCCATGGGGCATTTAACATTTGCCACCGAAAAAATAGGATGGGATCACTGCCCTCCTTGAGCATCCCTGAGGAGGTATTAAGAGATGCATGCTGAGTCCAGGTACCTACAGCATCCTCCTAGTGCACAGGTGAATGAATGAATGAGCTGGAGAAGAAACCCCCAAGCTCCCACCAGTCAGTCTTGATAATAGAGGAAGGAGCTCTGCTCACCGCTCAGAGCCTGGGTCCTGCAGTTCCTGCTGTTCGTTCCCTTCACATTTCTTGGTCTCCTCAAAGGGCCAGACCCCTTGCCAGATGCTGTAGGGAATTGCAATAGCCTTACCCAATTACTGCCCCCCTGACCTCACCTGTCCTCAGAATCATCCCCATCATTCCTGCTCATCTCTGTCACAGCTGTCTCCCATCTCAGACAAAAGCCCTGTGCCCCGTGAGAGGGTGTTATGGAGATGGGCCAGTCCCTGCCTGTCTCCTGGCCTCAGCTTCCACCCCCACCCCACCCCCATGAAATGAGGGGCATACCATCTCAGTCCTACTCTCTGCATATTATCACCTGGTCCCCTGTGACTAAAAGAAGACTTGTTCCCAGCCCCTGAAACCTAAGTCCCCAGCAAACTGCCTTCTATCCAGCAACAGGAAAGGAAACTGCTCACACACACAGACTCAACCCCAGAGCAGCCCTCAGCCACTCAGGAGGCCCAGCTTGAGACTGTTTCAACTAGTGAATCAGTTGCAGAAGGACCCAAACTGGGACCAGGGAACCCAAAGCCAGCCTTGAAAGCAGGGTGTGTCTGGTCCTCCACAAAGCTGGTAGCCACCAGGGCTGGTCTGCCATGAGTTATTCTCCTTATCTGGCCCTGAGGAGGTAGCCTGCTCCTTGTGAGGGGAAGGGGGGTGATTGGCCAGATAGTTGCTCTGCACACTAAGCCTCAGCGGCATCTCTTTTTCTGGCTTGATAGTAGGGTCTGGAAAGGGACTTTGTATCAGGAAACAAAGAACAGACCCAACAGCTCTGCCCCCAAGATTAGAGTGTTCTGAACTCCAGAGGAACTTAGAGTCCCAGCCCCCTACCCCAGGGGCATACCATAAGGACAATCAGCTGTAGGGTAGTTTACAAAGCCATTTCAGACCTCCTTGGATCCTCACAACACCCCAGGGGAAAGGTTACTCTTCTCCCACTTTACAGCTGAGGAAAGGGGCTGGAGAGGGGCAGTGACTTGCCAGGGGTCCACGGCCAGGAGTATCAGATTCTGGCTTCCAGCCTCTTGACCCTCAGCCCCGTTGCCTGGAATTTGAGTGTGACAGGGTCTTTGCCTTCCCTTCCAAGGAATTCTTAGCCCCCAAACAATTCCTTAGGGTCTCTTCCCGCAAAATCTTCTCATGCCAGATCCAAGGGCAGTCAGCCCCATACTGGCCAGGGAGAGTACACTGCTCTCTCCTTCTCTATGGCCACAAAGAATGCCTAACTGTGAGCTATGTGGCTTTGGACTTCTCTGACCTATCAGGAACTCAGAAGAACCAGCTGCTTTCCCACCAGCAAAAGTAGAACTGAGGATTCCAGGTGCTGCTCCCATTCAGACAGCTCTTGCCTGGTGTCTTTGTTCTACCTCTGGCTTTGGGAGGGAAGAACCTGGCCAAAGGACCTTCCTTCCAAAGCCCTAGTCTCCAGGCTAGAGGCTCGAGTCTGCAGAACAGAGGCATGATAGGATCAGCTTGAAGGAATTCCAGAGAGGATCAAGCTCAGGCTTCCCCAGAGCCCCTGCATCATGAGATTCAGGGGGGGCTGGGATCCCTGTTCAGTAAAAGTAGAAACTGCACACTCTGACTTCCCTTTAAAAGTTTCACGATGGGGGCTGGGGATGTGGCTCAAGTGGCAATGCGTTCACCTGGCATGCGCGCGGCGCTGGGTTCGATCCTCAGCACCACATACAAATAAAATAAAGATGTTGTGTCCACCGAAAACTAAAAAATAAGTATTAAAAAATTCTCTCCAGGGCTGGGGATGTGGCTCAAGTGGTAGCACGCTCGCCTGGCATGCGTGCGGCCCGGGTTCGATCCTCAGCACCACATACAAAGATGTTGTGTCTGCCGAGAACTAAAATAAATAAATAAATAAATATTTAAAAAAAAAAAAAAAATTCTCTCCAGTACCGGAGGCCTGATGGTGATGGTTCCTATTTCACAGGATTGTTTGAAAATAAATGTGATGGTACTTGTAAAGGGTTTAATCACAGTGCCTGGAAAATAATAAGCATTCAAGTAACCCCATCATCATCATTATGATGATGTTATTAGTGTTAAGTAGTGTGTGGTTATTATAGTTACGACTACAAGTTTGACTAACATTTCCCCACTGTACCGGAGTGTAGAATCTTTTGTCTGGTAATACCTATTAATAGCCCACAAGTGAGAGGAAATGCCGATCCCGTCAGGGATGCTCAAGAGGTAGAATAAGTTGCCTGCGGTCATAAGGCTGACTGAGGCAGAACTGAGATTAGTTTCCCAACCAACGCTGAATCTGAGGCAGAGGTGCTCTCTGCATCTCTACCTGGACATATGCTAGAAGTTTCTTACAGTTAGCAAGTGTGGATAGTTCCCAGGGGGACTAGGTTAAGGGTGGGGGAGTTTTCATCATCCTTCAGGAAATGGGATAGTGGATGGAGACCACTGGAAAGAAGCCAGGCTGAGAGTCATGGGCCACGAGTAGAATGTGATGGTGACAGTGACTATGGTAATGATGACACTGGTTGACCCTAACCAGTCTCTCCTGGAGCAAGCAGTATACTAAACACTTCTTATATATTATCTCAACTAATCCAGTAACTCAAGTATTATCCTCAGTCAAGAAAACTGAGGCTCAAGGGTTAATAACTTGACCAAAGTCACTCCAGCAGGTAGTGGACCTAGGAGTCAAACACACATCTGTAACTCCCTGAAGACACAGTCCCCACCACTACTGCTTTTTCTCTTTTCACAGCACGGAAGTCCAAGTACCTTCCTCCATTGACCTGGAAAAAAAGTGATCTAGTTGGGGAAGGTGAATTGTCACCTGCCAAGGACCTAACTTGTCTTTCCTGCTCCGGTACAGTTATTGGGTCAGTCAGTGGGCTGACCATTCAAGCACAGTTTCTTTAAAGTTCAGCCCAGCACAAGAGAGAGGCATGTATATAAGCAGAGCCAAATTATAAGCTAGAGGAAAGAAAGCTTAAGTGTGTGGAATACTTCCTGACTGTACCTGACATGTTAATTAGTAACCCCTAACCTAGATGCCCTCTCTCTCCCAGGGACCATCAGCAGGAGGCCCTGAAGGTAACTTCTCACCCTGTCCATCCAAGCAACAGGTACCAAGCCCCTTTTCCCATGCCAGGCATGTTGCTGGGTGCTGGGAGACAGTTGCACACTTTACCTGTTGCTAAAAGGCTGACAGTCTGTCAGGAGATATAGAGACTCTTGGTGAAATGGAGTAGGTTGAATACCCACATTAACTTTTGCTCTTTCCTAAAACCCTGCTAAGATGACAGTAATATCTAAAGAGAATAAGAGATAGCAGAAGATGAGAAAGTCCACAAAACTCTTAAAGCTCAAAACTCAAACTCAAAATGATAGCATAGCCAGGCATGGTGGTGCACACCTGTAGTCCCAGCGGCTCTAGAGGCTGAGACAGGAGGATCACAAGTTCAAAGCCAGCCTCGGCCAAAGCAAGGCGCTAAACAACTCAGTGAGACCCTGTCTCCAGATAAAATACAAACAGGGTTGGGGATGTCCCTCAGTGGCCAAGTGGCCCTGAGTTCAATCCTTGGCGCACGCGTGCGCGCGCACACACACACACACACACACAAATGGTAGCATCGCAAGTGATATAAGGTGAGACCTAGGGTTTACAGGAAGAGGAAAGGGCAGGAAGCTGGTGAGAAAAAGCAGGTACTCTTTATCAGCACACACCAGAGAAGCTCCGGAATTGGGGGCAGCAGGTACCTTGAGAGAAGTGGAAGACTGGACGGTGACAGGGCTGACTGAAGTCCCTATAAACAGCACCAGGGCTCTCTCCCAGCCACCCAAGGCAGCCAGGGGACTACCTCTCCCCAGCTCAGGAGCAAATGGGA